TACACACACACACACAAGGAGAGAGAGGTGTTTTAAACCCTTCCCACGCTCTTGCAATATTCTAAGCAATGTTTCTAAACTCTAAATGCTCTAAAAGAGCACAGAATGGCATGATTTCATCTCTCTGCCTCTGTTGCTCTCAGCCACCTGCAGGCGTTCTTGGCCACGCCCACTTCTCTGCTCTGCACAGAGAACAGCTGATCAGCTGCAGCAGGAAGTTTATCCTGCAGTGTGGGCAGCACAAAGGTGCAGCAGGTGCTAAATAATTTAAAATAATTTATTTTAAATACAAATTCCATGCCGATCGTGCAGCTCATCCATCAATCAGCCAATTGTGTGCCATGTCCAATCTTTGTCCTGATGCTGCTCATGCATGCATCCATCTTTGTGAAAAGAAATCGTCCATCTTTAAACAGGGGTGGAGGCCTCCGTGTTCAACTGTCCCCCTCCTACAATGCTGTTATTGCTAGTATCACTCAGCCCTCTGTACTTTGTAGTAAACAGCCATCAGTGTGCTAATGATCCATTGTTAGGCTGATGGTCCTTCTTGATCATGTGAGCAGCTGGTTTTGGTTGTCAGCAGCAAACTGGTTGATCCACTCTGAGAAGGTGCTATTTATAAGACTGAGCTGAATACAGCACCTCAGACTGAAGAAGTCTTTCGGATGACAGACGAAATGTTTCTACTTTTTTTTTTTTTTTGGTTTGTTTTGTTTTTTGAATGTTCAGAGGACCAGTCTTAACTTTTTTTTACATGTCCAATCTTATTTTGGAAAAACCGCAATAGAGCGAGTCCGCGATAAACGAACTGCAAAGTAGCGAGGAACTACTGTATTATTAATACTTCAATGTACAAATATTAAAAATATGCATAGTATTTCGATGTGTTCAATGTGAATGCATTATGAGAATCTTTGGCTACTATTTAGAAGTCACTTGTTGGATTTTTAACACTTTTTTTTAGGCCTTCATTTGAAATTAATAAACACAGAATGCAGTTAGCCACAAACTTATTTTTTAAAATAACAGAAAATAGAAGTGAATAATATAATCATAATTCTTTTTTTAAGTAACCTTTGATAAAGCTTAAGTTCTTTCAACGTTTCAAAACTTGACTGAAACCCTGCCTTCAGAACTCTCCAATCAGAACGACCCTGCAAAAAAGCATTTAGTTGTTCTCAGATACCGCTGTCAAATAGTCAACATCAATAACTTCATGAGTCGCTATGGCAACAAGCAGCTGCATTCATTACATTTTAGTGTTCCCAGAAAACATCTGCTGCATGTGTCCCCCCCCCCCCCCCCCCAAAAAAAAATAAATAAAAAATTAGTAGAAGATATTGTAAATCACTCTTTGCTCTCAAGAATACAAAAGTTTTAATCTTGTTTTGCTTTTGCCTCTGCAGCATCAACTCTTTTAAAAAATATATATCTGTAGCCTGGAGGTCCCTGGACTTTATAAAGGTGCTTTAATAATAACTGCTAAAGCTGCCCTTTAACTGAGTCAGTTGTACAAAATAATTGGTGGGATGAGATTGTGACCACAGAAAACTCCGAGGTCACCTGTTCCACCCCGTCACAAGTGCACAACAGACCGTGTGTGTGCGCTCTAGGGCTTCAGTTCCCTCTCATCCCTCTTATCTTTCACAACCCACCCCTACCACACCACTCCCCCCCCCTCCACCATATCCCCACATACACGCACAGACACACACACCCTCGTCTGCCGCCAGCAGAGTCCCTTGCGGCCTGGCGCAGCAAACAGATCGATACACCGGAGCTAGGCCGCATTAATATCTGTCGCTTCACCCCCACCACCACCCCGGCGCCCACTCAGCTGCTTCAACACACACACACGCGCGTGCATGCACACACACGCACGCACACAGTCAGACACCTAAATCACACAGACACACAAAAAACACACATCACACCCGTACCGGCGGCGGAAATGGCCCCTAGCTCCCAAGGGATCTGTCTAATTAAAAAAAGGGTGGTGGAGGGTCGGAGGGGTGTGTGTGCGTGTGTGTTGGTGGGAGAGGGTGGGGGAGAGGATAGATTGAGGCAGGGAGCGAGAGGCAGGAGAGAAAGAGCCGGATGGATTTTTCTCTCATTAGAAGCCATGTCTCCTGGTGTGGCCTGGCCCGGCTGATAATGATGAGTCCTCATCTCCTGCGAGGGAGAAAAGGAGGCAGAGGGGAGGAGGAGGTGGAATGAGGCGAGCGTTTGAGGGCAGGAGGTGGAGGTGGAGGGCAGGCAGAGACGGAGGGAGAAGGCATGATTACTGTGACGGTGGGGGGCTGTAAAAACACAGTGGGCCCGTTGTGTGAAGTTGCTTTTTGTCATTTGTACAAAATAAAAATAAAGTCAACACCATTTGTTTACACAAATATTCTAACTTTTATTTGACAGAAACTGATCTCACATTTGCTCAAAACTTTAGTTCTTCAGTCTGACAGGTGGATTTTAAACACTGTGTGTATAACATTTAAAAAATATTTTCAGCATTTAGTCTGAGTGAGGCAAGTATTTTTACAAATAATTATTACGTTTTTCCCCTGAGCTTTCTGCATTCTTAGCCTGGTGATATATCAAGACAGTAAATAGATTCTAAATGTCAACTTTTTATTTTCTGTGTGACTTGTAGCACTTGCAGCTAAGATAGTAAATGTACAACTGTCTCTCCAGGAAGTTGCAATGTTGCGATCGCAACAATAATTGCAAATTTAACCAGTCACTACAACATTTCTGCGTTTTTGACCAATCGTCATCGCTTGATTTAACGTCCTGGAATCCACTCATGGCTCAACCTGCAAGATGGAAATGTTTGATAGCAAAACATGACTAAACCACTAAATTGCAAAGTCTTGAAGTCTTACTTAAAAGTTTTATCAACCGTTTTGCACCTTGGGCAACATTGTGATGGAACAAGCAAGAATTGAGCAAACAGACCCAGTTTTTGCTGATTTGCACTTTATGTTGCATTGCTTTGCTGTAAAAGCAACGATGAGAAGTTCTGTAGTATTTTGCTTTTCTAGGACTGTTTACAGAGAATGTTAAATGAGATTCAGATTATGCAATTTTTTACCCTTTTTTTATTAATGTAATTTGTCAACATTTCATTTAGTGTTTTGTTTTATATTAAGAATGTTATTTTATGTAAACATTTGAACCGATTTGTTGTTGGCACTTCAACTGTTATTACTGTACAACTCTCATTAGAAAAGGGTACTCGCAGCTATTTTGGAATTGAGTTTATCACCCACCATGTTATAGAAAAAATAAATATGTTTAAAATAAAAACATTGCAAAGTTGCAATGTTTTAAAAAATCTGCAGCAAAATCAGTCATTTTAGGCCAAAACAATGACAAAAAGTCTGTAAAATCTGTGAGATACTAAGCATCCAGCAACTATAGCTTAAGTTCTTCTCCAGTCCAAGCATCATGGGAGAGGAAAAGTGAAGGCCATTGTTGATGAAAACATTATTCTCCTTCTTCCACGGACACTCAGTTTGTGAGGATGGCCCACTCTTGGTAGATTTGCACATGTCCCATATTCCTTCTGTTCCTTGATGATGAATTTAACAGAACTCCTGGGGATGTTTAGGGCCTTGGAAATTATTTTGCATCCATTCCCAGACTTGTACTTTTGAATAATCTTTCATCAGAGTTGAATTAGGACATTCACTTACTTCACGTGTTTTACGTTACATATTTTCATTTAGATGGCGTCAAGGTGTCTTTATTGTAATTCGCACCACATGTGGTACATGTAGTGGAACAAAATTTTGTACACAGGGTCCCAGTTACATCCAACAAAAATACAAATTGTAAAGAAAAACAGTAATAAGATTTGGGATATGAACTAAGAAATATGCTAAACTAAGAATATACTAAGTACTAATAGTACAAAACAATGTACCAAACAACAACAGCATTACTTGCTTGAAAATTGATTTCACTTTGACATTGAATGGCTTTTTTGTAAAGGACTATTTATTTTGACCATGATTAATTTATTAATTTTATGACAGCAATAAAAAAAACATATATCCAAGGGTATGAATATGTTTTTTAGGCACAGTAAGCAGCACCACACTGAACTATATTTTTGCGGACACTTTCTTTTGTTTTCAGCTTTAAGTTTTTCATCAAATGTTCCTCCATTTTGCTTTTTTTTTTTGACAGATCTGTTGCGTGCTCGTCAGGAGGCGCTGGTCGCCGCAGCCAGGAATCCAGCCGCATTAGAAGCCCACCTGCCTTCAGCGGGCAGCTCTTCATCATCCAGCCAGAGACGCAAGCAGGGCCTGCCGCAGCACCGGGATGCACATTACACCGACAGGTAAATAAAAGCAAACTGTAGCTGAAACACCATCCATTTCCTGTGTTCAACACCAGCATTAGTCATCGTTTAAAAAAACAAACTACATATATAAAACAAAAGAAAACCCTTCTCCAGAAGAGCTGAAAGAGTTAATCACCTGTCAGTTTGCATCAGTGCACAGTACCAGTTTTTCCTCCTGTTCAGTTTTTACTTCCTGAGCAGTATTTGAACTTGCACTGGGCTCTCTCACCGCACTGCGCCGTCCTCGTGTGAATATGTGCATTTTCACAAACCTGTATAAAGCAACAATCTAATAACCTCTTGGCTACCACTGTGGAGTTTTACGCCTGCGCGCCAGCACTTCCTCCCCACCAACTCACCCCCCC